TGTGGGTTGACCTCATTACATTATTTCACAGATTTATTCTAAAATATAAAAAATAGTAGTGGTGCACTTATATGATCTATCTCATGTATGAAGCAATAAATGCCTCTTCATATTGTATTTGTTTGTAGAAGTTTTTCCACATGTAGCACACTTGTAAGGTCTCTCCCCTGTATGAACCAATGCATGTCTATTCATTCCTGTATTAGATGTAAAGCATTTTCCACATGTAGTGCACTTAAAAGGATTCTCTTCACTATGAACCAATGAATGTCTCTTCACACTGGTTTTTGATCTGAAGGATTTTTCACATGAAAAGCACTTGTAAGGTCTCTCTCCAGTATGAACAAAAGAATGTACCTTCATTTCTTCTTTAGCTGCAAAGGATTTTTCACATTCAGAGCACTTATATGATCTCCCTCCTGTATGAACAAATGTATGTCTCTTCATATTGCTTTTAGATTTAAAGCATTTTTCACATGTAGTGCACTTATAAGGTCTCATTTCGGTATGAACCATTGCAATATGTTCCTTCATAACTGCATTACAACGAAAGGATTTTCCACATGTACGGCACTTATAGGGTCTCTTTTCTGTATGAATTAATGAATGTGTATTCTTATAGCTTTTGGTTGCAAAGGTTTTGCCACATGTATGGCAATCGTAAGGTCTCTCTTCTGTATGAACCAATGAATGTCTCTTCATTTTAAATTTTGTTTTAAAGGATTTTCCACATGTAGAGCACTCGTAAGGTCTCTCTTCTGTATGAACCAACGAATGTGACATCATAATATTTTTGGTTGTAAAGGATTTTCCACATGTAGAGCACTTGTAAGGTCTCTCTCCTGTATGAACCAATAAATGTGTCTTTACTTGATATTGTTTGAAAAAGGTTTTTTCACATATCAAACATTTGAAGGGACGCTCTCCCGTGTGATATAATATATGAACCTTCATTACGGATAGAGTTGAACAGCATTGCCCACATATTGGACAATTGTAATAGTTGGGAAAAAGTTTAGTGTGCGTTAACATTTCTACTCTTGCACTTTTTATTTCCGTGTAACTTATCACATAAATCTAGTAACTAATCAATAAACTCAACAAATCAGAGTGGTTGGTTGTATTTTAAATATTAACATTGTCTGTAGGATACATGATAGGCTACCTGTCTCATTCAACATTAAATCTTCTCGTAGTCAAATCTTGCTGTGTCTGTGCTTATTTTCAATATACTTGAGTGATAATCCTTTTTCCCTCGTGTGTTTGTATTCTTCTATTGTATTATATAGATTTTTAAATAAATATATTCTGTTGTTTTGATTCCTTTGACTGTCTCAACCTACAACAAAAATATTCAATATAATTTAAATTCTACTTTTAAACAAATTAATTACCACTAATAAATTTTGCGTAGGGGAAAGAAACGATTTAGAACGGTTCTTCAAAGTATCATATCTGGGATTATTTGGCTATGCCTGAACATCAATCTTAATTTGTTTTCATGCGATTAAAATCGATTTTTTTTAAGAAAAGATCATACCTAATTAAAAACATGTATTTATCCGTTCGCATGGGTTAAACAATTAATTTACAATACAGTAGAACTCCGATTATCCGAATCAATGAGGGACCAGACCCCATTCGGATAATCAAAAATTCGGATAATCGGAGTTTTACTGTACCGGAATTCCGGGAATTTTAAAGAAAATCCTGATTTTTGGTACTATGTGAACTTTTAATTAGTAATAATTTAAATCAGAACATTTTACAGTTTACAATGCTCATAGTACTAGTGTTCTATACATGTTATTAAGTCAATAATGTTCCATCAAAGTCCAAAATTGGCTAAATGTGTTTAATGACAATTCTTTGATATTTTGCAAAACTTATTACTGTAGCTTTTCGTTTTTGAAATTGTTGAAATAAGCGATTCGGATAATTGGAGATTCGGTTAATTGGAGTTTGGATAATTGGAGTTCTACTGTACTTTAATCATTTCTACAAGCTCAAGAAAATCATACTGTAACCATTCAAAATCAGGGATTTGCCGGCATGCACAACATTGAAAATTAAATTCCGCTAAAAAATACAAACCCCTTTAAATCCGAACCCCCCGTTGCGGAGAAAACATCACTTTTTTAACCACTAGACTTAGCCTGAAAAATGATTTTTTTACCTCTTTAAAGGGGGTAAAGCTTGAGGTTCGAATATTAGCTTTGACTATTAATACAACATAATAATACATTTCCTAAGCAATTGAGTTTAGGTAATTTTTAGATGATTAGGTTCGATCAGCGACCACAGAACTTGAGGAATATGTTCCGAAATTTAGATTGTCTGAATTTTTAGACTCCCTTGTTTGCGACTCAGGATAATTGTGGGTGTCTTTGTGCTATGGCAGTAGAGGTCATTCCTCGGCTTACCCAAGGATTAAAAAACGTAAAGATTAATTTGATTATAAATCGAAGGCCTATGTACTGTATTTTGTAAACAAATGTAATAAAAAACTAAGCTTCCTACAACTGAAACACTCAACCTAATTTCATAAATAAAAAATTTAAACAATTGCATTGCTTATTAGTATACCAGATATGAATTGTATGTATAAATGACTAAAGATAGTGTTTAGAGAAGTTAATTTTTCTGGGGGAGGACCCCTGGACGGGTATTTCCTGAAGGCTATTCCAGACCCCCTGATACCCCCCCCCCCCCCAAATGACGAAGGTCTATCTACGTTTTCTACCTATTTGTTTATACAATTTTATATTATTTATACCATAATTTGATCAGTAAGAGCTTGTTACTTATTCTTTAAAATATTCTACCAGTCACAGGCTACAGAGAAATTTAAAAAATAACCTGTTTATATAAAATGTTATTATGTAGAGAAATTAAACTGTTACCATTTGCTTGTTTAGGGATATGGAAAGTAAATAAAAATACACATGATAACACTTGAAATATGTATATTTATTCTTAAATACCGTTTTACAAGATGGTAATTACATGAAAGATGGTAGTAGTGATTGATTTCGTTTTGTTACTCAAATCGTCATCAGGCCGAATAACATATGTGCTGATAAGTTTTTTATGGTCGGTTTTGATTAAATTTGGAAAATATATTTATTTCATACCGTACTATAGTATTAACATATTAATAAAATGATTTCTTAAGTAGTTTACAGTATTTACAGTATTTACAGTAGTTTACAAATGGAAATTAGCTTAGTCAGCGACAGAGAATGATTATTCATTAGATTTAAATTGATATCCCCGCACACTAATTTTTTAAGTCCCTTTATCATTTCTTAATGCTTATAAAAAACACAATTCACCTCTTTGGCAGGTGAATTATGGTATGTAAAACAAACAACTCTGATGATTTTCTTTACTTTTCCAAATAACTCGATGATTTCCATGGTAATACCTCTTTACAATAAGGTATAAAGCCTGTAAATAAACAATATATCCTATAGTAAAATTATATAAGTACTAGCCCAGAGCAACAGAATGAATTCACAATGTATATGTACATTTTCTAATGAACATACAAAACAATATTCAGTATTGCAATCCACATCCACATCTTCATTTGGCCGTTAGTTTTAAAGGATTTTTCATTTAATTCAATTATTGCACTTTTAAGGTCTCTCCCTTGTATGAACCAATGAATGTGTCTTCGTTTTGTTTTTGGTAGCAAAGGATTTTCCATATGTGGTGCACTTATAACGTCTCTCTCCTGTATGGACCCTTGCAATATGATTCTTTAAAACAGCATTATATGTAAAGGATATTTCACATTTAGTAAACTTATAAGGTCTCTCCCCTGTATGAACCAATGTATGAGTCTTCATACTGCCTTTTTCTGCAAAGGATTTTCCACATGTAGAGCACTTGTAAGGTCTCTCCCCTGTATGAACCAATGAATGTCTCTTCATACTGCCTTTATCTGCAAAGGATTTTCCACATGTAGAGCACTTGTAAGGTCTCTCCCCTGTATGAACCAATGAATGTGTCTTCATATTGCCTTTGTTTGCAAAGGTTTTACCACATGTAGAGCAGTTGTAAGGTCCATCTACTGTATGAACCAATGAATGTCTCTTCATACTGCCTTTATCTGTAAAGGATTTTCCACATGTAGAGCACTTGTAAGGTCTCTCTCCTGTATGAACCAATGTATGTGTCTTCATACTGCCTTTATCTGCAAAGGATTTTCCACATGTAGAGCACTTATAAGGTCTCTCTCCTGTATGAACCAATAAATGTCTCTTCATATTGCCTTTGTCTGCAAAGGATTTTCCACATGTAGAGCACTTGTAAGGTCTCTCTCCTGTATGAAGCAATGTATGTGTCTTCATATTGCCTTTGTCTGCAAAGGATTTTCCACATGTAGAGCACTTGTAAGGTCTCTCTCCTGTATGAAGCAATAAATGTCTCTTCATATTGCCTTTGTCTGCAAAGGATTTCCCACATGTAGAGCACTTGTAAGGTCTCTCCCCTGTATGAACCAATGAATGTGTCTTCATATCGCTTTTGGTTGTAAAGGATTTTTTGCATGAAGTGCACCTTTTTAAGGGCTCTCTCCTGTATGGACCAATGAATGTCTCTTCATATTGCATTTGGTTGCAAAGGTTTTACCACATGTAGAGCACTTGAAAGGTCTATTTATTGTATGAACTAATGTATGTCTCTTCATATCGCGTTTGTAAACGATTTTCCACATGTAGAGCACTTGTAAGGAACCTCTCTCCTGTATGAACCAATGAATGTCTCTTCATATTATTTTTGTTTGCAAAGGTTTTACCACATGTAGAGCACTTGTAAGGTCTCTCTCCTGTATGAAGCAATAAATGTCTCTTCATATTGCCTTTGTTTGCAAAGGTTTTACCACATGTAGAGCAGTTGTAAGGTCCATCTACTGTATGAACCAATGAATGTCTCTTCATACTGCCTTTATCTGTAAAGGATTTTCCACATGTAGAGCACTTGTAAGGTCTCTCTCCTGTATGAACCAATGTATGTGTCTTCATACTGCCTTTATCTGCAAAGGATTTTCCACATGTAGAGCACTTGTAAGGTCTCTCTCCTGTATGAACCAATGTATGTGTCTTCATACTGCCTTTATCTGCAAAGGATTTTCCACATGTAGAGCACTTATAAGGTCTCTCTCCTGTATGAACCAATAAATGTCTCTTCATATTGCCTTTGTCTGCAAAGGATTTTCCACATGTAGAGCACTTGTAAGGTCTCTCTCCTGTATGAAGCAATGTATGTGTCTTCATATTGCCTTTGTCTGCAAAGGATTTTCCACATGTAGAGCACTTGTAAGGTCTCTCTCCTGTATGAAGCAATAAATGTCTCTTCATATTGCCTTTGTCTGCAAAGGATTTTCCACATGTAGAGCACTTGTAAGGTCTCTCTCCTGTATGAATCAATGAATGTGTCTTTATACTGCCTTTTTCTGCAAAGGATTTTCCACATGTAGAGCACTTATAAGGTCTCTCTCCTGTATGAATCAATGAATGTGTCTTCATACTGCTTATTTGTGCAAAGGATTTTCCACATGTAGAGCACTTGTAAGGTCTCTCTCCTGTATGAATCAATGAATGTGTCTTCATACTGCTTATTTGTACAAAGGATTTTCCACATGTAGAGCACTTGTAAGGTCTCTCTCCTGTATGAATCAATGAATGTTCCTTTATATTACCTTTGGTTGCAGAGGTTATATCACATGATGAGCATTTGTAAGGTCTCTCTCCTGTGTGAACCAATAAATGTTCCTTTACTTGATATTTTTTCAAAAACGTTTGTTCACATATTAAACATTGAAAGGGCCGCTCTCCTGTGTGATATAATATATGAACCTTCATTGCGGATAGAGTTGAACAGTATTGCTCACATATTGGACACTTGAAATAGTTGGGAAAATGTTTAGTGTGAGTTAACATTATTACTCTTGCACTTTTTATTTCCATGTAGTTTGTCACATAAATCTAGTAACTAATCAATAAACTCAACAAGTCAGAGTGTTTTGTATGTATTTTAAATAGTAACATTGTTTGTAGGATACATGATACCTCTCTCATTCAACATTAAATCTTCTCGTAGTCAAATCTTGCTTTGCCTGTGCTTATTTTCAATATACTTGAGTGATAAGTCTTTTTCTCTCGTCTTTTTGTATTCTTTTATTGTATTATATCAATTCTTAAATAAATATATTCTGTAGTTTTGATTCCTTTGAATGTTTCAACCTACAACAAAAATATTCAACATAATTTAAATTCTGGTTTCAAAAAATTAATTACCGCTAGTTAATTTTTTGTAGGGTTATGAAACCGTTTAGAACGGTTCTTCACATATTACATCTCGGATTATCTGGATATGCCTGAACATCGATCTTAATTTGTTTTCATGCGATTAATCCTTTTAGTGCTATGCAACGATATATCTTTCTTTTTAAAAATCTCTAAGGGATATAGAGAGGAAGGTTATTTGAACAAAAAGTAGCATAACAGCAATTTGTGACCTACATGTTCATTGGATACACTAACAACCACTTAGCTAAAAGATTCGCCCAATCCAATGATTCGAGGTGTATGTCTAAGCCAAGGATTATGAACAACTCACTATGGTTCAGTGGTTGTAGTATATCGCTACAAACACACAGGTCACCAATTATTTCCCACACAGGATGGGAATCGAACCCGAGCAGACGAATGCCACTGGCCAAGTGACACACACCCTAGCCTTCTCGGCTATATGTGCTTGAATACTGAGGAGTCAAAAATCTGTTGTACTATTCATGGAATAAATATAGTAAATAAAAATTGAAGCAATATACTGTTTATGCACAAGAGGGAAATATTGTACTAATTACTAATTTGAAATAATAACTTCGCCAATATATCTGAATTTTTAATTTTTATGAGGCCTTTCGCCAGCTATGCTGGCATCATCAGACACATCACAAAACAAGGCGAAATCTCAGAAAAGTTTGATGTAAGCACAGGCGTAAGACAGGGGTTTGTCTCCATTGCTATTTAATTTATCTTTAGAGGAAGCACTACAGAAGTAAGACAAACAGAAGCTGGAATTAAAATAGGGACCAAAATAAACGTCCTTGCATTTGCAGATGATGTTGCAATTATAGCGGAGAGTAAAGAAGAGTTGAAAGCGCTGGTCACAAAACTCCTAAACCACACAAAGAAAGTTGGTTTAAGAATAAATGAAGGGAAAACAAAAATAATGGAGTGTGGGAGAGCAACCCAAATAAACAATGACAACAATATAGAAATAGGAGGGTACAACTTTAAAAAAGTAAACAACTTCACTTATTTGGGAGTAATGCTGACGAATAATAATGAAGAAGATATGGAAATACAACAAAGAATAAATGCAGCACACAGAAGTTTATCAGCATCCCACAAACTATTAAGCTCAACAAAACTCCGTATAGGCTATATAAAACCATTATAAGACCAGTTCTGTTATACGGCTCAGAAAATTGGGTGTTAAGTAAAAAAACAGAAAAATGTTTGATAGTATTTGAGAACAAAATATTAAGAAAAATATATGGTCCAACCTTTGAAGATGGAGAGTGGAGAATGAAACACAATGCGGAGTTGAGGCAATTATATATGGACCCAGACATAGTGGCCGAGGTGAGAGGTAGGAGAATGAGATGGGCTGGCCATTTACTAAGGAAAGAGGACGACTCCTTAGTCAAGAAAGTCCTTTTGAACAATCCGGAGGTCAGAAGACCACCAGGAAGGCCCAAGTTGAGATGGCGAGACCAGGTTAGAAAAGACCTAAGAAGACTGGGAAGAAGGGAAGAGGAGGCAATGGATAGAAAAATCTGGAGGCAGTGTGTTGGTGAGGCAAAGTACCACCTTGGGTACCAAGAGCCACGGCAGTAAGTAAGTAATACACTTATAATTTAGGCCTACCTGTTTTAGTACTAATTAACATAGCACGTAGCACTGAGTACTTCTATTCAAAAGCTGAGGCAACTTGTGACCTGTAAAAATAGTAAATTCTTTGAATAAATTTTAAGGGTACCGTACATAAAACTTAAGCAAAGGACTTATTATAGGGATATAATAATAATAATCCTGTTCAGGACCCCTTCAGCCACTCGCTCCAGAGACCTGTTTGCTAGGCAGCAACATCGTACCAACTATGCAGCAAACGACACAATGTACCGACTTCAGAGATCTGGTAATAGCGTCGCCGACGTCGTTGACTTTTTCTTGGACAGTATACCAGTGCTCAAGAGGAGGATCGCCAGTCTGCATGAGTTGTCTGTCTAGGAGATGCTACAGCGGAGGGAAAACATTTCACTCTGCATAATTTCTTAACTGTCAAGCTGCTTCAATTGTTAATATTACTATACAACATTTGTTATACATCTCTATGTCAACATCATTAAAACTGCACGTAACCCATAGGGACCATTGTAATCCCCTTATCTGCCCTTCAATAAATATTGCTATATATATAAAAAAGCAATATATATATATATATAAAAAAAAGGGTAGAAGGCAGAAGGGGACCCCACAATTTACACATTGCAAAATCATCATCAATTGCAAGTAAAATTCTTTTGTCATTTGTCATTGCCATCTATACTTCATATTTAGCCATATTTAGGCATTTTTATTTTGGTTAAACATTTATATGCATGTTCGTCAGTATCTTGAGTTCTTTCTTATTGTTCAAAAGTGAAAAAATGGAGTTGTCCGTTGAAATGTAAAATAAAAATAAAAAATAAAATAAAAAATAAATAATAATATAATAAGCCATACAAATTCGTCTGTAAACCATGTTAACTTAATACTTTAATAGGCCTACTTTCAATGAAATGGCGACCATACAAAGTTGGTATTTTAAGCCAAGTATGAATGGAGATGAGTGGCGCGATCTTGTAGTCTTGTTAGTGACTAAAGGCCGACTTATTCCTTAGACACAGCTGTTAATTAATAGCTCACACAGCTAATGGCAACTAAGTGACCTTCAGTTTATAGTGGAATCCGAACCACATTTTTGCCCTGGTAACTTATATACGAATTGGTCTAATTTTCAGGATAGTACTGCGGGTAGTCGTAGTATTCACTCGTGCGGACATTAACCCTCCGAGTTTCCCTTGTTTTGGCCTTAATGTCTGCCTATTTTTTGCTCATTTGCAAGGTTTTATTAAAACGGATCTGAGAAGCTTGAAAACAATGTTAATTATACTGTTCTATATACCATTTTGTTTGGAAAATCATGGGCTTCATTATTATACATAAGACATAAGGAACATTTGTTTCAAAAAAAATTTTTAGGTAAAAAAAATATTTTGGAAAATTTTCAAAAAAAAAATAAGTTCGCGCTCAATGAAATAGTATGAATTTAGGCCTATAAATATTTGAAAATAGCCACTTTTTTTCTAAATTTTATGATGATTACAAATATATAAGGCTAATATAAGGAAGTAGATTTGCAAATAAATAAGTTATGGGCAAAAAACAGATTTAAGTGCATAGCATTTGGCTAAGAATGCATAGCCTAAACATAGCTAGGAATCTGGCTGATAATTTACATCAATATCACTACCTACTTCTTCAGGATCATCAACTAGCAATTCAAAATCACTTACATCTTCTTATAATGCACCACGTATATCACTACTTTTGATTTTTAACACTAAATTATTGATAAACGTAATAAAACACAACAGTCATCGGTGCGAGGTTAACCAAGCTGTTTACAAATACGCACGTCAGCTGTCTGCTACAATATTTTCGGAACTAAAATGAAAAGCGCTTAGAGACAGACCTACGGAGAAAGCTCTGAATCTGCCAAATAAAACGATACCTAACTCGATCCAGTTCAATCCGATTTTGTCAGTCATAGAGCCTTCGCCGTAAACAGTGTTTGTGAGTCGATGCATCGACACAAAACACTACACAAAGTGTGTTATGTGTCGAAGCATCAACAAATAACACTCGGAGGGTTAATCCACACCAGGGAGTATCACATCCACAGTGCATGCCTATTTAAATATCCACGATTTGTAATCTCCTAGTAGCTGGATTACAGGATGACGCCACCTTTCCCAGTTATGAAACTAGGCTAGCCAATGATAGCCTAAAGTTAGATTTTTTATACCAAAGCCTATTTTAACGCAACAAGTGCTCGGGATTGAATGTATATAGGCCTAATCGTTGATTAACCTAATTTGTGAAACAACATTGTCACATTGTTTTAGTTTAAATGTTTAAGTCTTAATCATTTAGCATGTTGGGCTCACAGGTGTGAGTGCAGTTGGGTGGCAAAGTGGCAGTAAAGAACAAAAAGTTCACACTGCTCCTGTGAGGCTGTGAACGAGTACAAACCATTAAGGCCGGTTTAAACACACTACCTACGATGGAACACAATGACTTTTCTGCAACAACGAATCGTTTAAACAACAAGACATTTCATGTTGTTGGTGTTGGAGTCGTGGATTAAAAGGTTGGTGCAAAACGCCATAAATTTTTTGAGGTTGTACTGACAGTTTGGTGTGTGTAAACGGCTGTCAGACAAATCGACACCTGTTCCAGCCTATAGGACTTTAGTTTTTCATGTTCGCTTCATGCAGTGTAAGGTATGTGAAGATTACTTTGTGCAGTTGGACTGATTTTAGTCTTCTTTGTATTTGTTGTTCTGGGTGCCTTAAGTTACTGGTATCAATGCAAATTGGTTTTACATAAATAAGAAAACGGTCAGACCTCTGTCAAGCTTCTCGTGAGTTTCTGACAGAGCTAATTTTGGCTGCACTTTACTTTAGGTCCTACACTCATTCAAATGAAAATATCGATCAATATTATTTTCATATTATTTCGATATTATTTATTTTCATTCAAATGAGTGTAGGACCTAAAGTAAAGTGCAGCAATAATTTTAAACTAGATACAAGAGCTTCTCGTGCTTAAGGTTTTCTTTTCGTTTTCACACTTGTTGAAAGACTTAACACATAGGCCTAATATAAGTTTACATAGACTAGTGATGTGCGATACGTATCGTATCGTAACGGAATATCGCGATACGCGAGGGACGATACGATATTTCGATACGATATTTGAAAAACGATACGTATCGTATCGCCTAAAACGATATTTGTATTTATATCGGCACATAGAGCGATACGATTCATGTCAAAACGATAGTTTTAAGCTTTTTTTGCGCAGGCCGAGCAAACTGCAAAATCTGTACTACTGTACTCTGTGGATGTGTAGTTTGAAAGTGGTTTGAAATAGGAGTTTTTGACGTCTGTAGTTTTGGTTTTTCCTTGATAATGTACCAGTCCCATCCCAGTCCAGTCCATTTCCTTTCCACTAGCGTGCTATCTAGCACTATAGCAGTGCAGAGTGTAGGCGGCGGTGGTGGGAACTGTCTGTGGCAATTACATTAATGTATCTGCAATCCTAAAATTCTATGGGAAGGATAGGGAAACAGGTCCAAGACGTAGGGAGTTGTGAAGGAAGTAGTAAAGGCGAGCAGTAAGCAGTGTCGAGTGTGGAAATGGATTAATGAATGTATCTGCAATACTAAGACTGTTTTCAGAGTAAACTAATGATTTTCCCCGAGCAAAGCTTGGTCCCCAGATACTTATATAAATTTGCCGCTTCTAGGTTAGGTAGGGGAGGGGGAAAACGATACGATACGTATCGTTTTTCGATATTTTTGACGATACGATTCGCGTATCGCGATACAGACGCCCGATTCGATACGGCGATACGATATTTTTTTCCGATACGTATCGTATCGCTGTATCGCGATACGCGTCCGTATCGCCCATCACTAACATAGACCAGTAGTCTACCACAATAGTAGCCTAACTCATCTACCGGTACCTATTAAGTTAAGGTTAATACAATTAACTTATAGACTAGGGTACAAATAAAATGGAAAACCTCAAATTAATGTCGATGCGGAGATGTTTCAAAATACGGAACATCTAACTAGCAGCACGGCTCAATCAATATCCGGCAAGATTTTGCGATTTGTTGTTGCAGACAAGTCGAATTATCTACACTAAGTTAGGCCTAATATAAATAAACCCACCTTTAGGTTATTTTAGGTATGCCCTCCTCCCAATTAACACGATTTGTTTACGTTTACCTTTCATTGAGTAACTTTTTACTTGTTTTAAAATGTTAAATGTGTTGTTAACTCGTTAACTTCGAAAGTACCACCATAGATAGGTCTAGGTTAGGTGACCTTGACCGACGGTACCCAGTACCCACCCTACCCAGTCGTTCGAACTTCGTTTCGTTTCGTAGGCGTTCGTAGTTGAGTTCACTCCACTCCACTGCTTCACTGGCACGGCACTCACTCAGTTCGGGCGTTCCGTTCACTCGACGTTCTGTACCCACGAGCATCTCAGCTTCCACAAGCACAGAAGGCCTTCGAACAGTTCCTGGGATAACAGGTATTTGTGTAATAGCTTCACCGTATATCTTTATTGGACCTGTTTCGGTTTAGATAGTTGTTTTTTTCAACAGTTACAGTTGCGAACTGTGCATTGTGATTTTGAAAAGGGGGTTAATTCTTAATTCTTTAATCTTTACTGTTTGTTTACTTTTGACTTGAGCTGCTTGAAAAGATGTTTTATGATTATGAAAATTAACGTTTTGTGAGTGTGCTGAAGCTGATTTGTTATTAGGTATTGACAATTAGCCTAAATGTTTTGCGTGCATGAATTAATTATGAAGATTTAAATGTTTACTTAACCTATATTTTTCGGATTCCTCAAGAGAGAGTGATTGTTAGGTTAGGTTAGGTGTTTGTTTGTGTGTGAATTTGTTAGATTGCAGTTTTGGTAGTGGTAGGTCTAAGTTAGCCTCTAAGGTAAACTTAACTTAGACATACTCTTATTAATAGATAAGTTATTAATTTAACTTTTTCAAAGGCAATAACTTAGACCTAAACTCCACTGAAAGGCCCAACTAACTTAATCAAAATAAACCTAGACCTACCACTGAGTGAAAATTTAAAAACGTACGTTTTCAGGAAAAGCACTTTGCAAAGTCTTTTCCCCTTTTTTCAAAACTTTTATTATTTTTTTTTTATTTCATTTGAAGTTTCATAAAATGTCCATGGTAACGCAATATCTTTGGTAGTTTCTTTTTAAAAGAGCATCTTTAGTTGGAAAACACAAAATCCTGTCACGACCATAACGGACGTTTAAACGAATATTAAAAATAGTTAATATTATTTTTATAACTATGTTTTGCTATAAACTAATTTACTTTTATGACCACTATACAATAAAAAGGTCACTGAGCTTTTGGTATATTTGGTCTTTTTAGAAAAAAATTTAAAAAAACTCAAAATATTGAAAAAAAGCCAATAAAATCTTTTTAAGTTTGTATAACTTCGAAGAAACTTACCTGAGACCTGAAAAATCGTTATGTTTGTATAGAGGTGTGCTTCTTTTGTGTATAAAACATTAAAATATGACGATATTTTAATTTTTGAAATTTTTATGATAGAAATCATAAACGTGATGGTCAGGGAAAAGCGGTACGGTCTTGAATTGTCTGGAATAATCTAAATCTTTCTAAACAATCCTTCAATTATCCTGTTAGTTATAATAAAAATATGTGTTTCAATTGAACTAAACTGTTCAATTTACAATTATATTAAAGTTATTGTCACGACCAAACACAATACAATCCATAATGCTGGATTGGTCGTGAAAAAACCCGCGATGGTCGTGAAACTTTGGTCGTGAAATTACGTGTTATTTGGCTCTGTACTGACGGTAGCCCTGCACCTCATGTTCGAGGATACAAAGTGGACTTCTACGTTTAACTAGCAATTGAAATATCTTATAAACAAAAATTAACACCATGTCTACTTCATCGAATGACTACGTACGGTCATGGACACACCAAAATTACAAAAAACACAATCTTTCCTTTATTAATCTTCTAATTCCTCCTTTCAACTCGAAACGACCGGCACTACAATCCTGACGTACACCCCGAACTAGTCTCTAAAACCAACTGACTCCATCGACGCCAGGCTTGCCACTGTCGTGCTCCAAAGTTGAAAATTTTTCCCAAATGGTCGTGACGCCAAATCGAGGGACAGACTTATTTTGTCATGGTAGTCAGTTTGTAATGACAATAAAATTATAATATGCTCCTTTTTTGTAAGTTTAATAACCATTGATGACATAAAAATATGGCTTTATATATTTTGGCATGAATAATTAGTCTAAAAACAGTGTGAAAGTTGGAAAATGTACCCTAGGGACACGTCATGGTCGTGAATTTCGAGACTTTAAAAGTACAAAAAAAATACCTAGAACCTATTTAAAACCAAATAAATGTGTGTAACATGTTGCCCCCGTCCCAAAAAATATTAAAACACATAATAATAAACTAAAAATCCAGTATCTACGAAGTAAAAGGCCAGGGACATGAAAACGTACGTTTTTAAATTTTCACTCCACTACCAAAACTCCAATCTAACAAATTCACACACAAACGCAACTCAACCTAACATATTTACTGTAGGCGGATTGACTGGAATTATCCAATCATTCTTTCTTGAGGAATCCGAAAAAGATAGGTTAAGTGAACATTTAAAACTTCATAAATAATTCATGCACACAAAATATTTATTTGTTAATACCTAATAACAAATAATCAGCTTCAGCTCACTCACAACACTTTAATTTTCATAATCATAAAACACCTTTTCAAGCAGCTCAAGTCAAAAATAAACAAACAAACAGTAAAGAATAAACACCTTAAAATCACAATGCACAGTTCGCATCGCAACTGCAAACTGCAACTGTTGAAACGAAACAACTATCTAAACAGGTCCAATTAAAGATATACAGTGAAGCTATTACACAAATAGCTGTTATCCTGTGCATGTGGAAGCTGAGGTGCTCGTGGGTACAGAACGTCGAGTCGTTCCGTTCCGATTTTAATTCCGCTGTCCCGGCACAGCGCCGTGGTGGGGGGTTTTGGTCCTCCAGGGAAGGTTTAGTTGTTTTGTACAGTATTATGATTAAAATACCCCCGCCGCAGCAAACCTGCCGTCTAAGCGAATTTCCATTTGGCTGAATTGATTTTCAATTGATCTAATTTAAATAACATTAGGTTTAACGAGTACCTAGGTTTGCTGCTACAAGGAATCTAATAAAGTGTGTGTTTTAAGTAAAATAATTATTGCTTAGTATTGATAAATATATTTGCCAAGTTTGATCAAAAGATATCCATAAACAGGCAAACTACTACATTTTACAATATATTCTTTATAAGAATAACATGAGAATTTTAAATTTACCATTTTTTTAGTTTTCTCCGTAATCAATAAACGTACAAAAACACTTTGATATACTGAATTGTTTGTTTTTTAAACTCTTTAAGAAGGTTTAGAGAAAAATTGGGAAATTTTGTGTTTTGAGGGTTTGTGTTTTGAGGGTCTAAAGTGAGAAAAACCAATTTTTACCCCATAAAACCCTGTTCCCATGGTCCGATCATGCTGGATCGCGAACTCATTCAAGTTTATCCCGCCTTACACCTTCAAACCAAATTTCATCAGAATCGGATAAATATTACCATAGACCAACGCAAGATATTACCATAGATTAAACATACTCCCTAAGATATTACTCAAGTTATCGTGTTCGGACCGCTAGGGCGCTAGACGAGACTGCAAAAAAAAAGAACTAAAAAAAGACACCAAACCAAACCAATCCTACTAAAGAAGAAAGAAATAAAGAACAAGAATAAGAAATACATACACTTACTGCTTACACTACACATTAATCAAAATCAAAATGGAGGCGTGAAGAATCAAAGAATGCAATGAAGACGGTTCTTTATGTTTTTACTTTTTGTGCCTGTGCTCGTACTTCAAAACCATCATGTTGCCTTATTATTTAGTTGTTATTACAATTTAAATTAAAGTAGTCCTTAATCTTGATCATAGAATTTAAATTAGATTGTAGGCCTACTGTCATCCTCGAAATGGAAGTATAACTTATCGAAAGTGCTGTATTCAAAGGTGGCCAAACAGGAGTTAGCCTACCTAGTGCGTAAGCACAAATTTTATTGTTTTTCGTGATGCCGGATTCCGCTGAAAATAATGTTGCTTGTCGAATATGCATGAACCCTAAAGACCAATATGTATCTTTATTTTTCAATGACCTGTCAAGGAAAGTTATGGAACTAGCTGATGTTCAGGTAAGTTTTTGGTTGAGCCTAGGCCTTGACGTAGCCTAAGATTACCCTCTAGGCTATAAGCCTAACTAGGCCTATTATTTATTGAGTTGATTGGTCCGCAAAGCGGGAGTTCTAATCCCGCCGAAACTTCGCACCACTGGAGCGGATAGGGACGTTGCGATAGGCCTACTAGCCTAACTTATTGCTATCGGTCTCTGTATTGAATCAAGTGATACTTTATTGGGGTTAGAATATCATAAGTGGGGCCAAAAACAACTGAATGAATATATTGTTTGAAAGCCTAAGATTAAGTTATTTCATTCAATAATTTAACCCTCCGAGTGTCATGCGTCGCTGCAGCGACTCACGAACACTGTTTACGGCGAAGGCTCTATGACTGACAAAATCGGATTGAACTGGATCGAGTTAGGTATCGTTCTTTTCGTTAAATTCTAAGCTTTCTCCAGAGGTCTGTCTCTAAGCGCTTTATGTTCTCCGAGCCGATCGTAATTGTAGCAGTCAGCTGAGGTGCGTATTTGTAAACAGGTTAGTTAACCTCGGACCGATGACTGATGTGTTTTATTATGTTTATCATTGTTTTAGTGTTAAAAATCAAAAGTAGTTATATACGTGGTGCATTATAAGAAGATTTAAGTGATTTTGAAGGGCTGGTTGATGATCCTGAAGAAGTAGGTAGTGATATTGATGTAAATTATCAGCCAGATTCCTAGCTATGGTTAGGCTATGCATTCTTAGCTAAACGCTATGTACTGAAATCTGTTTTTTGCCCATAACTTATTTATTTGCAAATCTACTTCCTTATATTATTATATATTTGTAATCCTCATAAAATTTAGAACAAAGTGGCTATTTTCAAATATTTATAGGCCTATAATTTATATAATTTCATTGAGCACAAACTTATTTTTTTTTCCAAAATATTTTTTTTTTACCTAAAAAAATTTTTTGAACAAATGTTCCTTATGTTTTATATATAATATTGAAGCCCATGATTTTCCAAACAAAATGGTATATAGAACAGTATAATTAACATTGTTTTTAAGCTTCTCAGATCCGTTTTAATGAAACCTTGCAAATGAGCAAAAAATAGGCTGACATTAAGGCCAAAACAAGGGACACTCGGAGGGTTAAGGTACCGGTACGGTAAATCCACCAAACTTTTTCCACTAACTAAAAATCTGACATTTAATCTTCAACAGTACCGGTTCCGTAAATATTAAGTAAGGTTACCCATTGTTGTTACTCTATAGATGTATAATCTATGTCTCAGGGATTTACCGTAAGTTAGCTAAGTTTTTTGGCGGGAAAAGCAACGACCGTTAGACTAAATAAAACCGGCAGTTGTAAGTAGATCGTCTGATCCATCTACACGTCTCGCTAGTTTGGCCGCTAACTGTTAAGTCTGATATTATTTCTGCTAAGAACCGAAGGTAAGTGCCCTAATGATAAAATGTGTAGGCCTAGTTAACTGTTAAAAGTGCCGGTAACATGGTTAAGTTAGTTTTTCAGTACCATACCTAATACTTTTTATATATCAGGCCTAATCGTATAAAACAAAGTAAAACCACAACTGAACATTTCTAACATACTAATAAAATACTTTTTTAAGTGTCCGGATTTTAACACGAAAATCCTCGAGTCATGGGCAGCCGAAATTTACAGGGTGTCTACCAACCGGGAAATCCGGGAAAACCGGGAATTGTACTTAATTTTTTAATGGCCATGAAATGTACGGGAATCGTCCTTAAATGCCAGACTATGTCCTTAAATTTTTAATGGGTCATAATTTTATTGATCGCTAGTTGGTTAGGAGCACATAAAAGGTTTATCAGATGTTTGTTTACATTTTCATAATTTATTACTAGAGTAATTATGCAATAAAAATCCCATTAGCAATCTCAAACCCATTAATATTTTATCACGACAATCAAGTGTCAAGTCAAGTACTTCCAAGAACTGTTGACTCAGCAGCTAGCTCATAAAAGTTGTATCACTTTTATTCCTTTTCAACTTCTTTTTTTATTACTAGGGTAATTATTATTAGATCCCAAACCTATTTTATTGTGAAAATAATAGCTTTATAATGGCTGTTAAATTTCACTTCTTACTTGTACTTTAGGCTTGAAGATTCAATTTGCCGCGGCCATTGCCTAGTGCCATAAAACTGTTTATGGTTTCATATTAAACATGTAAATAATCTACAGTCTTATTTTGTAAGTTAACCCCTTTTTTATGGATATTTTATCTTTCAATTGACAAAACCACAAGCATTGTTGTTTGCATTAATGTTTTATCACTATGTAGGCCTGCTTGGTTTCAAATTATGTCATTGCATTTTCTGTATCTTTGTCTTATATTGTTGGCTATTCAGGTTTCAATGTTTTTTGTTTCCCATATATTTATTTATTGAGTTGTATGCTTTAAGCAATCTAAATCTTATGAACTAGAATGATGATAGTGACTTTGCTGCTATTATAACCTCATTGTTTGTTACTCAGTTTATATAGGCCCTCCTAAATAATTAGGTCTAGGCCTGGGTATTTTGATTCTTGAAAGAGCTGTAAAATATATTAAGAAAATGTAATTGAGCCTTAAGATAAACAACTAATGATTGCTATGTGTCGATATTAACTTTGCAAATGAAAATACAATAATCTTACTCTGTGCTTATTGCTTATTGGTAGCCGCTTACCATACCTTGATTTTTTACTAAGAACTGAGTAACAATATGCATTAAAGATTTTTTTTTTTAAAGTAGTCGAGAACCTAACGTTGTGCCAGGGCGAATCATGCCAAATTAATCTGCCTGGATCGGATAAGCTATGTTATGAAGTTTACGTAACCGATGGAGATATTTGTCGCTATCGCAGGAGACAATGATTGCATTTCTCTGTTACACTATAAAAGCTTTACCTAAAGTATAGGTAGGCCTATGTTTACTTTCAATAAATTTATATTTTGAAATTTTTAACTCTTATCTATTATTATTTACTTTTCTCTCTGGTACAACTGCAGTGAATAACAAGATTAATACAGTTTGACAAATCAAAATTATTCGGTAGGCCTAATGACACCGACAAAGGTTACGGCAAAGTGTCCTTAAATGTACGATAATTGTCCATGAATTTTTTATCCAGAATGTAGTAGACACCCTGAATTTAGTCTTTACCTATCAGCTAAATTGGATTAGGCTATATAACTTATTCTCAACCTTATTCATTATAATTCTCTAGGCTAACTTTGTTGATTTATAATAAGATAGCTAGGCCTATGTCTGATATCATAACTAAAAATCATCTCGGTGATCTGATTTATCAATCCTAAGAAAATTAATCCTAATGTGACGAATTAAATTTTTAAAGTATTTATTTCAATTATGAACTTCATTGCAGGTCATGCCTTCAACACCACCGCCGCCGAAGAGACGACAATATGAGGAAGATACTTCTTATGGCAATTGAAGCCATAAAGAACAGGAAATCTGTCCGCACAGCGGCAAAAGAATTTGGCGTGCCCCAGATGACGCTCCATGACAAGATTTCGGGGAAAACGGCGGAACTTTGCTCTCTTGGGGGGGGGATCAATGCTCCATGCCCAGAATAAGAAAATCGTCTAGTTAACTGGGTGAGAGACTTGGCTAAGGCTAAGTTTCCAGTTAATAAGGAACAACTTCTAGCCAGTTCTGACAAACTTTTTGCAGAGCTCAACAGAGCCAATACCTTTTGCGATAAAGCTCCAGGAGAGAGGTGGTTGGCCCTCTTCCTTAAGAGGCATCCGGACATAAGCTTGAGAGCACCCCAAGCTCTCGTAGCATCAAGAGGGAACATAACAGAAAACCAAATATCAGCATGGTTTGACGAAGTTAGTGAATATCTGGAGGCTAAAGGCCTGCTGGATGCCATAAAAACACCTAGCAGGGTGTATAATGCTGATAAAACAGCATTTTATCGAAGCCCTAAAGGTGGCAAAAGTTCTTGTAGCAAAAGGAGCGCAAACCGTATACAAAAGGACAGGAAACGACGAGAAGGAATGTGCAACGGTATTGGTTACAGCCAATGCAGCAGGACAAGTTCGGCCACCTATGGTTGTTTATTCTGTACAGTGAATGCCACCAGCCATCCCCAAAACCTTTCCACCATCCTGGGGCTTGGGAAAAAACACGACTGTGGCTGAATTATGCAAGAGTCCTTTTTCGAATACATCTTGAATGTTTTCCACCCATGATTGATCACCAACCAAATTCAGCTCCCTTTCATTTTATTAATTGACATGCATACATCTCACATCACTTTCCACCTCAGTGAGTTCTGTCGGAAGAACTCGATAGAACTGATTGCCCTATATCCGAATGTGATTCACATCCTCCAACCTATGGATGTGGCGGTGTTCCACCCTCTCAAGACATCATGGAAGAAGAAGGTTGATCAGGATTGAGAACAGTGGGGGAAAAGTGAAGATTGAAGAATTTGCACCGATCCTCCAAGAGGTGCTGGACTCAAGCACAACTGAAATAGTGGGTGAAACCATAGCCTTCTCTAGTACACAAGGCCGCAGCGAGCGAGAACTGCCAACGTCGTATCTGAGTCTTAGTGCATGATTGCATTACCATTACAATGAATGGAGGAGTCCCGTACCGACTTATTTATTCGCGCTTTAGGATCTACTACATTAAATAATTAGTTTTAACATTAAACTTGTTACTACATCATGCCAGATCTGTCATAAATAATATTGTGCCTGGGTGCAAGAGTAATTACGAAAGCTCAATTAAAACTGAAGGATACATTCAGTGTTTTATTGTGATTCCAAATGATCCGCCGCTTAAGCAACAATGGCTTCATGCTATTCCTCGGTCAGATTGAAATGAAATGAAATGAAAAATCATTTTATACAGGCAAAGTTAGGGCCACATGGACCTTTCTTACACTTAACCTGTACTTTAAAACATAATATAAATATTTTAACATAATCAGCTTATGCAATAAAACAAAACAGAAATC